GTCTTACTGTTCTTATGCTGTTTTTTTCTCTTTTTTTCTCTATCCACTTTGCTGCTGTAACATTGGAATTTCCCCATTGTGGGACTATTAAAGGAATATCTTATCTTATCTCATCTTTAGTCATATTTCACATTCACTGCCTTATTCAGCAGCTGCATGCCTACTAACTGACTAGTAACATCCAGTCATATCCATTCAGGTGTACAGCGCAGTCATTAAAACATGACGCTTCTCACTATTACTCTTTTTAATCCTTGGCACTCATTCCAACTTGTTTTACTGCTGCAGGTCCTCTACCTCAACCTTCTAATAATGTTCACGTATTTGTTTATAAAGGGTGGTTTCGTTCTCCCAGCAGTCCTCGTTGCCGCTCAGATAGTTTGAGAGCTCCCTCAAACGGCAGTACTTCCTGCCAAATTCAGCTGCAAAACCATTTGCAATAAATCGTCAGTTCTTTGACACAAGTGTCTCTGACTCAAACAGAAGTTTGCCTGTTAGCAATAAAAGTGCTAAATATAGGTGTCTCAGTAAATAATCAAAACAAGATAAGTGTCTCAGCTCCACGGCCAAAGACAAGAATAACTGGATTACTCTTTCTGCCAATAAATATTACATTATATTTATATAACCAGAGATAATATAGGAGCTCATATAACACACACATTCATTTCAGTTAACCATAAACTTGTAAAACTATAAAATCCTTGTGCTACAACTTGTATACACACACACCCAACTGGTACTTGTTCCCCGGTGAGAGTGAAAGAGAAGCGATAACGGAGATGATCACGAACTGTATTTCACATGTCAGTCAGGACGTCTTACGGGACACGTTCTCTGAGCAGAGTGGATTCTGCTCAGACCTACATTAGGCTGCTACAGTGACGCTATGCTGTGCGTGGGAGAACAGAGCAGCCCTAGAGTGATAATTAGTCCAGTCTCTTGTTGGGCAGCCGATTCACACATCAGCATTGGCTCTCTTCTTTCCTTTTTTTAACTTTGTTCCTCTGTATCTTCTTTTTTTTTCCTCAGTCCCAACTTGGCTGCCTCCATCTCTCCTTCTGTGCATCTCTCTCTGTCTTAATTAGCCTCAATTCTCTTCACTTCACTTTGATTGGATTCAATTTGATTCAATTCAGTAGAATTCAACTCAAGGTTTAGCAGAGACCACACACTATCGCATACTACAAAACTAACAGCAGAGAAAGTTTATCTGTTTCTTTCTCTTCCTCTCTTTCCCAATTCTCTTTTCACCAGCTATGATGAGCTGCAGTGAAACTGAATAATTCACAACTGCAGCAGCAACATTCAGGAAGACCTCAGCAGTCAGTGATAGACAGAAAACAGTCTGCCAGTTTGTTTCTGAAAATGCTCATCTCAAGTACCTGTGCATCTGTTCACTGGCACTGCTGGGCCTACTGTGGATACTAATGTAGCTTTTGTATTTCAGCCAGTAAGTCGTCCCACAGGCTGAAGAATGTACCTATTTACTTTGTAAGCTGCTATTTCATTCTGCAGAGAAATACACTGTGTTTTGATGTATTGTTACTTCATGATGTCCTTCTGGCTGCTATTATATTACTATAGTCTTGTTTCAAAGCCTACAACCAAATTTAACAACATGACAGCAGTAAACAGTGTCTGGTTCTGGGTAAATCACAGTGCGCTTATATTTTGTTAGAGGAGCCATCTGGGGCTTGGCAAGACTGAGGACCTTTCAAAAGATTTGTAATATAAAATCAAAATATTTGTTATATTAAAAAAATCCCAGGAGACAGATCACATCTTCTGGCACAAAGATGAGAAGAAATCCCACACAAAAAATACATTGTTTTGGGGGAAACTGAGTAAAGCAAAGCATGACTCATCTTTGACCAGCTCTGTTTGGTCTTGTGACCCAACTACATGTTTGAGTCATCTGATGCTTTGTCATGGTGATCTCTCATGCACAGAAACAACAACCTGACAGACTCGACTCAAGCAATAAAAGTCACGAGGAAGTGATGATTACTCAGTTGATCAGCATTCATTCAAACCAGCAAAGAAGCCAAGCAAGCTGATTTCAAGCTGTCTCCTAATGACTGAATGTGTTAGATGCAAGTCAAATTATTTTAATGAGTTCACTTTTTCCTCATACATATCATTAATCATACATCATCATCATCATCACCGTGATTGTAACGATTGGTGATACCAGAATGAACCTTTGATATCCATCAGTGCTGATGAACATGTGTCATGATACAGCAGCATTTACTCTAGCACGAGTTAATTTCAGAGTATTTCTGAGTTAGCTGAAGGATAACATTACCAGCTGTAACCGTAATTCTTCCACCTGTGTAATCACATCTGTAAGCAGAAGATTAAAGTGAATCTGCCTCTCCTGTGTCTCTCCTACTCGGTTTTTCTACATATTTCCCAGCATAGAAACATTAAAATACTGCAGGATGAGTAGATTGATCTCTGTCCTCCAAAAAGACATCCCTAGAGTTCATATTTAGCACTCACCGCTGTATGTGACAATCCGGATGGTGGAGTCACCCTCTCCAAAACGTGTGATTGGGGTGAGGCGCACCTCATAGGATTCAGGCTTTATGAGCTGCGTCAGGTTGTGTGTCATGAGCTCTCCTTTGTTGATTGTTCCATCCACAGGGATCTCCTGCTCCCACCAGCGCTCTAACCCCATCTGAATGGGACAAGGACCCACAAAAGGTTAAGATTATTAGACACAAATTCAGTTTCTTCACCTACATACAGAAACACACATTTCTCACATTTTATTCATAATCTAAAGCAATTGGCACAAAAGCTGTCAGCACTGGGTTTTCATCCATCAGAATTTAAATATGTTGATTCATATTCTACCCATAGTTTTCACAAATTTTAGGTTCAAGGTTATCCTATAACCCATAAGTCAACCTACGGCATGTGGAGTCCCAGAAGGAGCTGTTTTGGCCCCCCTACTGTTTTTATTATACGTGAATGTTTTTTTTTGGTTTCACATAAGAATGAAAACACACTAAAGACAGTCTTAATTGAGGTATTCAGTAGGATCGAGAAATAAATTGTGTCATTTATGTGGATTAAATCGTAGCTAAGCAAGTTTGACCAGTATTGTCCCAGAGATGGTTTCCTGCCAAACCCTCTGTTGAGACAACCTAACTAGGTTTTTGGCTAGAACAGCAATGATAAAAGAAGTATAACACTGTTGGCTTATTCTATTGTTTTGAGTTGCTTTAATCAGTCACTGTTCAGGAAATGAAAAAGAAAAACACCTCAAATTAACTACAGATCTTTCAGTACAGGTTAGTCAGGATTGTGTTGGGTTTGAAATCAAAGGCACATGTTGGCAAACAGCACTACCAACAGCTTGGGTGGTCACCCTTGAAGGAGAAAGCCGTACAAAAAAAATGAGGTACATAATATTTATGACAACAGAGCCTGTGAGCATCTCAAAGTCCACCTTTGTAGAGTTGGAGGAACTTAAGCCCACCAGACTAGAGCTTGCTGAGGTTTAATATCAACATGGTATTAAAGCTCCTTTAGGTTCTGTGTTGGTAGGAATTTGAATTAAGTCTGCACACAGGTAATTTTTATAAAGCAGCTATAGTATATTGTATATAAACTGTATCACCTGACTACTTGTATGTGAAAGGGATCATTCATATCACCCAGTTTCCTCAGCTCTACAAAGATTTATAGCAACTTTCAATATATTGTTTTGGTTTTACAGCCCACAACTTTACTGTTTTGGTTCAAACAGGCTCAGCGCTTTATTCAGTGGCATTTTTTGCTGTAGCAGGCAGCTTTTTTCAACACAAAAGCTCTAAAAAAATAACTGCACACTACCTGCCCAGCACCAAACGGCAAACAGGCACATTGATCATCAAGCCGGTGAGCATAGTGGAGCATTTAGCTGCTACAGAGCTAGACATTTCACTCAGGAATTGGTGGAGACCAAAACAGAGCTAAAAGTAGAGTGAATATAGGACTTACGTTTGTCAGGTGGCCAGAAACCTGAAGGATGTACTAGAACTAGAACTCCTGTGTCTTTGCTATCATTATATCAAGAACTATACTGACAATAAGTCTTGGTCTTAATAATCATAAACAGAACATCATTCATGGAAAGTATTAAGTGAGAACATGGAGAACACTGATTATTGCAAGTATATGAAACCAGATAAGTCAACTTACATTCTTCAATCACTGGATCATAACAATTACATCTGTTGAGATACCTTACATTTCAATTGCATCCTTGACATGTTTGTAGTGTGTGATTTAATGCCGTTCATCCCAAACAGATTTTGCAACTACCATCACTACAAAAGGAGCACATGCACAGTACAATGGACATTCATAGAGGCGTTTGCTCCAAGGAAAAAGTTGTGTACATGACCACAACAAATATGTATTCCCTTCACCATCAGTGTAAGATGTTCCATCTCATCTGCCAATTAACCCTGCCTATAGGCATTTGTATGATCTGCCAACATAAAATGCTACACAACAAAAACATTTTTTTCTGTGTAAGCTGTTGACAGGTAGCTGCTCATTAGCCACATTTACTTTCAAAGCAGCTTCCAGCCTCTGAATTCAAAGACTGCCATTAGCAAGCAGCAGAGATATTCTTATATCTGCTGAGAAAAAAAATCCCTGATTCATTTTTCCATTAAGGATATGCTTCAGTCTGCATTACTGTACTTGCAATACGGGCGTTTTACAGTATAACACATTTGTGCTCTAATCATGCTCTACAATGTTTTGCTATACCTTTCCATGGAGACCTTGAACTGACAATCTAATAGCTCGTCCTTGCGCAATGTTGAGCAGACAAGCGTACCTGTCTTTAGGTTTCTAAGCTTGGGTATCACACAAAAATTAGCTCATGCTTTTCATGTCTTGTGATACAATACAGCCCCTTGGAAATTCAAAGAAACAAAACGAGGGCTTGTTGCTGCATTTGCTGGGGGCAAAGAGAAGAGAAGTAGGGTACATTTTATCCTTGAGAATCAGTTTAAGGGGAAGAGCTGCACAAAGACAAGTTACAGCTTCTGCATCACAATTAGTGACTTTACATGCCCTTCTCACTCAAAGGAAAAGAGGAAGTGTGTTACCAGCAGGAGAGACAGAGATAGAGTGAATGAAGGTGTGATAGCAGTGAAGCAGAGTCAGTGTGTGTGTGTGTGTGTGTGTGTGTGAGAACAATACCAATTAAGTAATTACTTAGAGCCTGGATGATCCACAATTATGGGGTGCAAGTTTTCATCACCATTAGTTTGCAGGTAAATAGACTGTTGTGTCTGCCACTGGTAATTGTAGATGGAGCACTTGTCCCTACCTATCCTTTGAAAATTTTAGCTATCCTCTAAGTACAAAAGGCATGGCAGTTAATTGCCATAAATTACACAGTGCTGGCCTGTAAGTATATGTGTGTGTGTGTGTGTGGACAATCTAAAAAAAGTATGTGTCATTTCCAGCTGGAGACACACAGATGTATAAAAAAAATTACACATCCTGTTTTGTTCATAATTGGCAGTCTGGGTAATGTCTGTAGAGGGTGAGGGCTTTGCAGATGCAGCAATAGGCAGTTGCAAGGGTCAGAAGTTACACACATGACAAACTACAGTGGAGCTAATGCACATGTGCATTAAAACAACTAATACTGATCTATCAATCTGTGTCGACCATTTAATCCACCTGTCCAAATTAATATGTTTTAAGGAGTGGTATTGTCAAGGACAAAAGTCTTGTCAGTGTATGTGGGTCATACCTACATTATTTCTGACCATGGTAATCTCCTTTAAAAATCAGCCACAAAACAGATGAAATCTCACACTATTTTAATTTCTTCTTATAATTTAACCCATTTGACATCATAACATCTGGTTAGGTCCTCATTATGTGCTGTATTTTTGGCATTGTTGATTTGACTGAGATTTATGTTTATGTATTTGTTCAGCTTTGGCGCATCTGTAACTGAAATTTGGCTAGATTAGTTTATACTAAACCTTACTATTCTCAAGTTCCCAAACCATATTGCTTTCTTTATTGTATGTTTAGGTGGTTGTATAATGCCATGAGCATAAATAAAAGTAATAATACACGTGTGTGTGTGTTTTTTGTGTAGCTGTATATCAGCTTTTTTTTTAATTTTGGAGACCTGTGTCAGATTTAAAAACATTTAATTAGTAATAGAATATCTAATAGGGGACTGGTGTGTGTGTGTGTGTGTCCCAAAGCTCGAGGCAGATGGAGGCCTTAAATGCCAGTCTTGGCAAATGCTGCCTCAAGCCCCAAACAACAAGTGGAAGCAAATAGTTAAATTTTTTCCATATCAAAAACGAATTGTGCTTAAATGTGCAAATCAAATCAAACTTGAGCTCGTGATTGAGAAAAACATTTAACTTTTCAAACGCTTTGAATCATACACATACTTATTGGCTTATGGATTTTGCACCTTTGTTTTGATTCCCATTAATGTTCACTGAATCACTGCTTCTGTGCTCAATTAACATTTCTGTTTACATCCCATTGCCTTTCCACATTTTCCCCACAGAGGCAAAGTGCCATATCGATTTAATTTCATTTGATTGCAGCAGTAGTTCATGCCGTTTTTATGGCAACTTAAAAAAAAAAAACTGCGGGATTGATCAAAGCAATAGCAGAAGCCAAAAGAAACACGGGAATAATCAAAGTGACGGTGTAATGTTAGACGACCGCCGATCTACTGTAGATTGCCTGCGTGTAATTAGTATGGCTCCTATTGATCTGCTGGCACACTCTGACTTGACAGATCAATTGAAAAAGACGAAAGAGGAGGAGGGGAAGAAGGAAGAGATGGAAGAAGCAGTTCCAAGATGACAAGATGTAGATTGAAAAAGTTATCTTACAGGGGTTGGAGATGGGCAATCAAGCTTGTGGACAGCAGAGAAGGTTCTGAAGTAGCCGGCTACAGTATCAAAACAAGGGCAGATGTCACACCTTCGCATTGCATCCTTGACAGGTGCAGTGATTTGTGTTTTGTGATTCTCGCCCATGCATGCCTTTCAGCTAGAGCTTCATTCCCATTGCCCCTTCAGCCAGACTGTCTCTCATGAGCATACTGGACGATAAAACAAAGCAATCCATTACAGAGGCATAAGGTCTACCAGCTCCAAGTATTAATTCAAACGTACGGAGAGAAATGATAATAATTCCAAGGGAATGGCAGGGGAGCTGCTGCTGGATCTATAAATAGATCGAAGTGGTTTAGTCCACGTGCCGAAGCTGCACCACTCTTTCACAGTCAGTCCATGGGTAACTCTGCATTTATTTATTTACTGAAAGGAGCCTCTCCTCCTACTCATTTCTCTCTTCTTCTGTCTCATTTCTTGCTCACTGCCTTTTTTACTCTTTCTGGTTTTCTTCCCCACCAAAAGATGTTTGCATTATCCGTCTAAATAAACCTGAAACTCAATCAATCAGAGGGTGTACTGTATTGTTAATCCTAAGAAAAAGTCTGTGAATTTCCCCTACAGCAAATAATCTCTTTCATCTGCGGCAATGGAAGATTGGTTGCTATGCCTTGCAGGAAGGAAATAATGGTCACAAAATGTACCCTCTTGAGATATCAAGGCAAGAAGGTGGAAAGAAATTAATTTGCTCAAACAGTGATTGTCTGCTAAAATAGACTGGGATAGTGATCAAATAAACAAATGCAGAAAAGGTTGGAAATGCTAATGTGATTTCTGAATTACTGTGGCTTCGTTCTAGCACAGATGCAGACATTCTAATCTTTTAAAAAACTGTGCGCGGGACCAGCTGAAAATAGGAAAAGCAAATGTATATTCCTGGCAAGTTTTCTGACAAACGCCTGGCAAGCGCAAACATGGGCCCTGTAAGCACAACATCATTTATTACCAAACAGACCAACTGAGATAGTTGACAGAAAAATCATTGCGCTACACAAACATAACTGGTTTAGAATGTGTTTTCAAGCTTCAATTCCTTGAGGGTGTAGTGTGAAACAAACATGAAATTATATTATTTATTGCAAACACAACTGTCAGGGTATGCTCGCTAATTCTGAGCAGAGCTGAGATTTAGCATTGCAGCATGTGCTATTTTTTTTTTTATATATATGCTGTTTTTTTTGTCTCCTCCTGAATGGCGGCTCTGTGCTGCAATGCAAAGGCAATGTTAACCTGAGAATCTGTGGTGTTAATGGAGCTAGTTCGCTATTTCTGACTTCATGTGAACTGAAGGTGGTGCCACACCTGCTGATGTAAATGAAAAAGTATAAAGACCAAATGTGCGTCACACTGCCATGACAGGGGGAGACAGAGAGAGAGAGAGAGAGAGAGAGAGAGAGAGAGAGGAAGGTGCACATTGATTGCCAGAGAAAGAAAATGTAACCATGCCATCCATCAATGCTGCAAGCCTGTCATCTGTGGAGTTTACTTGAGAAGCAGGGAAAACGGGAGCTATGCTTGCTCTTTCTCTCTGTGGGGTTCCCCTCCACTCCTCTGACTGAGCTTCTGATGGAGAGCGAAAACAGAAGCATTTCGTGGAAACCACAGAACTCATTGAAGCGATTGCCCCTGACAGGTTCTTAGTCATCCTGCCCGGCCCACAGAGGCTCATTCACTTCCTCAAAAACTGCAGAATAAGACAGACAATGAATCGAAGGCGTAAGATTTGGCGCTGTCAAATGGAATACAACAAGCAAGCGCAAGCTGTGCAAACACTTCCATCGCATGCTTCAATTGGCAATAAAAAAAGGTTTTTACTGCCCTGTGGCACAAAACGACTCTAATTCATTTAGGAAAGGCCGAAAAGAGGCTGACCAATACCAATGACTTAACTATTATTGTACCAGAAGCCAACATTTCTGGTTTTAAAACCTCATGTTCTGGCTGTGACAAAAGCTTCCTGAGAACAGAGTTCTATGGGACTGAATAACACCCTAACCCTAACCCTAACCCTAAGCATTTGTATGACGAACACATAGGTTAAACAGAGAAAAAGAGAAAATCAGCAGGCAGGAGGGTGAGTGCTCAGATAGACAACTCTTAGGAAGTCATTCTACCTGTCTGATGCCTAGTCTGTAGGCGACAATGCGGTCCACAGCGTTGGGGTTCATCTGGGTCCATTGGAGCTTGAAGCTGTAGAGTCTGGGCCTGTTCTGCCACAGAGGGCTGTAGGTATCATAGTAGAACTCTGGTGGGTAGGCCTTGCCTGGAGAGAAAGCAGATCATAATACTTAATGCTTTAATGATTATTTAAATTGAAAAACAAAAAAAAGTCTACAAACCAAGGGTGCCTGTAACTCATGCTATCCTACAAAATTCCCAGAACTGTATTACAGGGCCATTACAGCAATTTAGTATTGCTCCTGTGACAGAAATAATAAAAAACGACATCATCAGGGTTACTTTTTCAAACTTTCCAAAGCTTCCTGCAGAGCCACAGCTCCAGGCTATATAGGCAGTAACAGAGTCCTGCAGATGTGCCTTCAGACATAACATTATCCAGTTTGTTCATTCAGTGTCTGCTCATAATAACTGTTTATTGATTCGCTCTTATTTTAAACACAGAGTGCATGGATGGAATATTTGTTTAAAGCTGAATGGAGCATTATGTGATGTTTTTTCATATAATGAATGAATGATATTCAGGAGCACTTAGTGCACAGCGATTACTGTACAGTAACACTTTATAACCTGAGACGTGACTTTTCCTAGTTATTTTCTCAGCATGCAACAGCAACTGCTACATTACCACTTTTACTTTAGAGCTAGATTATCTTGAACACATTCAGATAAACATCAAACTGTCAGACATACCATGACATGATGGAGAGATGCTAAACGTGCAAAGCCCTGCCAATGACTGGAATCATTTTTTATTGGTGGCCTAAAAACAAAAACAAATATATGATAGATAGAAAGATATTGTGCTGCTGTGAAGACTTACAGTCCCATGACAGCAGTGCCAGTGTCTCACAGTAGCTATAGAACTCATTCGTGTATGTTTTTGCCTAATGAACACACTGACACATTTAGAGAGTGAATCTTATGGCACATTTGGGAAAAATGCTGAAAGTATATGCATGAAAAAAGTACTTGCTTTTAGTTTGAAGTGTCAGTGTAATAAGGGTTGTGTTATTATTAAATGAAATAGATGCATCATTTTTGAAACTTGTTATTATTCTGAGGCACCGTGCAGGCATTCCTTTATACTATACTCGAGTGTAAATGTAAACTTGTAAATGTTTCATTTGTTAACATAGTGAGACTTCTTTAAGGCAAAAAAAAGAGTGCTGAATTAGCATGACAAAGATGTGAACTGTTTTTTATCTTCACTGTGTTCCGTTTGTTCTATTTTTATCCACCCTATATGATATTCCTTGTTGTCGCCATGACCGCATTTTTCCTGAAGGATCATTAAAGTTTAATCATATGTTTCGTGACATACAGTACTTTCATGGCAATTAATCAAAGCATGTTCCAGATTGTAGTATGTCTCATGACTGTAGCTACATGCTGAAGTAGAGATCCTATGTGCTAGATGCCTGCACACTTCCCTCCACAGTGACCTTTTTTTTTATACAACTGGATCCAGACTACCACAGAGATCCTCTCAAACCTTTTCTTTCAATAACACAGTTGGTTGGAATCTGTGAGGATTTACTTTTCTACAGCGATTGTGGCATTAAGTTTTCAGCTTCCCAGTCACAGTCTGTGAGCTGATTTCTGACAGCTGTAGTAGGAGCTGGCAGAACACTGTATTTTAATTAAGATCTAGAAACACGCTTACAGGATGACCTTCCAGGCAAAGAATAGTAATTCACCCTCTGTCCCTTTGCTATTTGGGCTTGTTTATTGAAGGATGACAATACCCAAGGCAGATAATTTTTAATAACCCTGGAAAAGACAGTAGAGCCATTGTTAGCTCAAACAAAAGCAGCACTGGGATTTGATGCACCCGTGTGGAGATGCAGCGAGTAGTTGATGTATGTCAGGCAATTGGATAAACCTGTCAAGTTAGTTTATGTTATTGATTAATTATAATGGCGTTATTTTAATTTTAGTGGTCTCCTGGGTCTCTCCCTGTGGGCTCCTTTGTGTGAGCAGATCCTTGAACCATTTTGTTTCCCTTGATTTGATTTTACTCTGGAGGAAATAAACTGTGACTTGGGAGTTTGTGAAGGCCAAAAGTTCAAAGGGTTACATGTGTAGTTTCAATTCCCTTCTTACAGTAACACAGTAGGGGTAGTGGTTCTTAATCTAAAGCTTAATCTGAATATTGTAAAAACGTACAATATTATAATACAAGTACGAACGATGTTTTCTTGAGACATTATGCGAATGACAAGAAACAAGGATAGGACTTGTTAAACCAGCATTTAAAATGTTAAAATTCTGAAGGGGAATCAATTTATTCGGATAAACGAAGTGTTCATTTAAAAAAAGTATTTTTAATTTTTTTTTCATGTCTATGACATATTCTAAAGACAGACATGGAAACTGTAGTGAAATGTGTTGCAGGTATAATGTCGATACGATTATTAACAGATCATTTTCACTGTCAGTTTTTGCTGGGAACCATGTGTGGCTCTTGGAGAAAATAGGCAAAATCTCTACTTTCTAGTGAAGCATGGCTGCAGATGTGCCTGAGACTCGCGTTATGTTTGCATTGGGTCAAATTCAATCCCAATCTGACGCGCTAATTTGTGCCGTTGACCAATAGCAAACCATCTTGCCAGCACTGGTATTTGAGGGAACTGAGAGCTCGAGGGTACAAAATGGATGAATAAAATCTTATCATGGCCTATTAGCTGTGCTGCAACATCCACTTTTATTCAACCTCCTCTATCAGAGGATAAACTGCTCCACAAAAAAAGCATGGCTTTCAGACAGTTATGAGACAGGAATCAATGGTACAAACGTGTCTTTTGAATAAATAAAATAAAGACCAAAACCAACAGTGAATTCTACTTTCAGGCTTTGGCTGCTTAGCCAAAGTGAGACACTGCTTCTGTAGTTTGTTTTGAGCTGATCCCACGCACCAAAAAGTGTTTTATTCCTCAGCTGAATATATTTCCCAAAAACACACAATTTATTCCTGTTTGAGTAACATTTGCAAGATGCTGCAATGTCCAGCTGTTTTAGAAATATACAATCCGTATCTTTAACAGAAACAATAGCTTGAGTCTGAGTGCCACAGACAGGGTGATGAAGTCACAAAAGTATTGAGATATGGACAAACACATTGTTGGTTGGGTCTTTTCATG